ATATTCTCTAACCTTGAAATATTCTTTTTTATGCTCTAAAAACTTTTTTATATCAGATCATAGGTAAATGAATCGTCCAGAAAGCTTATCCAATCGGAGCTGCATACTCTCAGTAAAAAGATGTAAAAACATAAAAATCCGGTCTCTAGTGATAGGCAAGGCTGTATTTAGAGTAATATGTTGATATTTAGACTACAAAAACAAAAGGGCGACAAATTTTGATTTTGCCTATGTATACATTTTGTCTAGAGTTGGCCTTAGTAGCCTCTAGGTGCTAGATCATTATTGTTAATTGCTATATATTATAGCTCACCCCGAAAATTATATCTATATACGCTACTGCATTGCAGTGTGTGATATTATTTGAGTTGGGCTTCTAGTATAGTGGAATACAAGGCGTATTGTAAAACACCAGGTTTTAGAATTAAATGTACATTTAATAAGATCATAATATTTGTATTGATAAAAATTAATATGTTTTTAACTTCTAATAATATTTATGTTATATGCTTGTTTATTTATTTTATTTAAAAAATAACTTAAGATACCTATAAAAAATTTTAAATACATATTTCTAACTCTTTATCTTACCTACCGACTATAGAAATATTATTTCAGTTTTATGGTTGGTAAAATAAAATACATACAATGTAGGTGAATAATTAAGGTGCGTGATCAAAGCCGTAATACTTGCCTAAAGTCTGCAACCAGGATAATATGTCCTACTAAGGAATTTTGTGACCCAATTTAAACGTATAATTTGTAAGTTAATAACTTATAATTTATATGGTTTTAGTAAAAAGGTAATATGTTTGACAAAACACACATAGAAATTATCTCCTATAACTAGTGAAAAAGTGTCCCAATATGCAATATAAACCAAAAATTGTGAAAAAATGAAGAAAGATCACTTCCTGTTAAAAACAATGGGTTCTTAGTCATTTTATAATTATATAATTATACTCGATAAATATAAAATTTATAATTAGGATTTTCTACCCAACGATATATTATTTTACAACTTTATTAAGTTTTGAAAACAGTAGAATTAAATTTCAATTCAATACATGAAAAAAAATAGTTTTCATTACATTGAATCTATTACATTACGTTGTAAGTACATAATAATACTTAACGAAAAATCCAAAATTTTAATAGAAAAATGATTTAATAAAATGCAGCACTCCTTTGTGTAGGTATCAATTAATGGTTTTATACTTTAAAACCTATTATTATTTTTTGTTATGCACTTACATCACGTAGACAAAATAAATTAGGCGTTGTCATTAAGTTTCATTGATTTACGTGAATTTTTTATTTAAAAAAAGAATACCGAAATAATAATTATCTAACGTTTTTTTTCGTAAAATAGCGTTAACGCGGAGTCGTTGATAGGCAGTCAAACGTATGTTACCTCCTACGGTTATTCACCACACGTCCGGTCTCGTCGATTTGGTCAGGGACTCGGGGTCATTACGGATCTAGTATGAGAAATATCCACTTAGGGCTACAATTTTTCAACGATTGGAGTCTCATATCTACAGGGTTATCCAGATTTTGCTCTCTAAAAACGATTTCTAGTACCAGGAATTCATGGGGGGGAACAGTGTTTCTCGGAACGCAACCGGGCGGTTGATCACCGGTTCATGGGTCCCGGATACTTTAAATCGTGTTTCGTGTCACATGCGTGTTTGGAGGTACTCGAGCACCGAGCGAAAACGCATTCACATACATTCCTGGTACCAAAAGTCCATCGAGTAACTGCTCACCTCGGTCGATTTCGAATATCTTACTCCGCTATTAAACTAAATCTGGGCGGCGCCACATGTATTCAAACCTCCATGCCATCAATTGCGAGTTGATGAGAAAAATATATACAAGTAAAATAAACGAAATATTCGCTATTACCGTTGCGCAAATTTAAAATTGGATTTAAATCATAGTTGTAATTCATAGTATTTGGATACCAACGATATTTTTTTATAAATTCAGGGCTCGGTACTTCGTGCAATCGCACTTGAATATTATCATGAAATTTTATTCTGCACAAATTAAATAATACATACCAAATTTTTAACACGCCATTTAACATATTTTCGATATTAACAAAAAAATAATTTATTTCAAGTCTAAAAATAGTATGTAAAATGTAAATGTGTAATGCTCATGTTAACCTGCCTCATCTAGAGCCTGCATATTTTAAATCATAATATTATAGATTTAATAATTATTGCTTATTATGGTAATAACTATCATAAATTGCAATGCATTTTGAAGTGTATCTATTATTTTTATATAACTGTATTTTTAGAGATATTATTGTATTATGTACTCACATATTTCATTATTTTAGTGCATTATGTTCCTTGTCTAGTTTTTTTTGTATTATATCTATTGTATTGTAATTAAAAATGTATAGTATTGACTATCGCCTAAGAGATGGGTGACTTGAGTTTATCTGCTTGGTATCCGAGTTTGACACATCAAGAGAACCATTGACAATACAAATAATATACCTATGTACATACAATATACTTTATGATTTTTTTTAAATTTGTATTTATATATTGTATTTTCGTACCAAACCAGTGGCGTAGAAAGACTTGTTAGCGCCCCTGGCCAACCTAGGAAAATGCGCCTTTTAACTACTAACGAGTAAATTACAAAATGTTTGTATAATTTTATTAACTTACGTGTGTGCGTACAGCGTGCGACGTGTCAATAGCATAGACGGCTAAGAAATGACAATACGAATATACGATTACCCGCATGGCGCATTGTATTATGCATTGTAATACGCACTATCGTCACTTTTAAAAATAAGATTATTGATAAATAGATGACAAATAATATCATAATATATTTTATAGACGGGACACGGG